ATATTAAAACAGAAATGCTGAACTGGCTGGAAGAGAGATTAGGTAGAACTCTTGAAGACATTGGTGTAGGAAAAGATTTTATGAACAAAACCTCATTTGCCCATGAACTAGCACAAACCATCAACAGGTGGAATCTCTTCTTACTAAAAAGCTTCTGCATAGCAAGAGAAACCACCAACAGAGTGAAGAGACAACCCACAATGTGGGAAAAAATTTTCACCTGCTGTTCCTCAGACAAAGGTTTACTATCTAGAATCTAGAAAGAAATTTAAAAAAAATAAGACATCCTCAATTTTAAGACCCAATCCAAAAATGGGCATCTGAAATGAACAGACATTTCTCAGACAAAGAAGTAGAAATATCAAATAAACATATGAAAAAATGTTCAACATCACGGTCTTTTGAGAGATACAAATGAAAACAATGCTGAGATTTCACCTCACCCCAGAAAGAATGGCTGCTATCATGAAATCAACCAATAAGAAATGCTGCTAGGGCTGTGGGGAAAGAGGAAGACTGCTCCAGTGCTGATGGGAGTGTAGACTGGTGCAACCACTATGGAAATCAGTATAGAGATACCTCAAAGAACTAGGACTGGAAGATCCATTTGACCCAGCTTTTCCCCTGCTGGGTATCTTCCCCAAAGAATTAAAAGAATTATACCACAGTGATATATGTGCACCCATGCTCATATCAGCTTGTAATAGCTGAAACTTGGAAGTAGCCCAATTGCGCATCAACTGGAGACTGGATAAAGAAAAGGTGTGGTTTTTATTTAATAAAATGGAGTACTACTCAGCCATAAAAATGAGAAATTAGAGATACTTATAGCTAAATGGATGCACGTTGAGGTGATACTCTTAAATGAAATAGGACACACATGTGTAAATACTAAATAATTTCTCTAGTGTGAGAAACTGAAAGTGTAAATATGAACTAAAAGGTATAATAGATAATGTGAAATAGGAAGAAAAGGGGCAAAAGGGAAGGGAAATGGGAGGGGTAGGGAAAAGGAAAGAAGGGAATGGAATTAATATTAGAAAATGAAAAAATTGAAACAAAGTCTTTGTAAATAAGGAGGAATGGAGTGGTTGAAGGAAGGGCAGGGGAATGGGGAAAAAATAAGAACCAAGAGAGTATGTAAAGGTGCAAATTTCCAATGATAAATGTCATTATATTGTATACCTAAATGTACCAATAAAATTAAATTTAAAAAAAAAAGATTCTGTGTGTGTCCACACTCAGTGTTTTCATGGCCTAGCATCACTAATTTAATCAATACAAATATTTTAATACTCAGAAATACTCATGCATTAATTAGTTCAGGCTGACATAACAAAATATCATACAATGGGGGCTTAAAAAACAGAAGTTTATTTCTCACAGCTCTATAATGCAAGTCATCACTAGAAAATAATATAAAGTCACAGGTTAAAATGTTAGTTCCTGGAGATCTATCTTTTAAAGACAGTGTCAAATGCAATAGCATTTCTAGAAATGTCCATTCCTTAGGCATATCTTCCTGACTGTCAAAACGAATAGAGTATCCTGGGAAACCAATGTATTGCACATGATAGGAAATAATATCGTGGTTGGATTCTGGCCAGAAATAAGTCAGTAGATGCAAAGAAGGTGCTAGTAAATAAGTTATTCTAGCTTTAAAATACCATTTAACCTTTGTGTATATTCAGGTTTTATAAAACAATTTCTCCCACCTAATTTTTTGTCACTAGACCTTGAAGAAAGGAAGGTAAAGTAACCTGTAGTAAGTTATACCACTAACTAGTAAATGCCAGAGATCCAGATCTGCTCTTTTGATGTTATCTCCAGTATCATTTCTACTGTACTGTCTGCTAGTACACTGTACTCTTTAGCTCACATGAATTCATTTTTTAAAAGAACATAGAAAATTATTCTTCAATCATTTTATTCTATAATGATTTGTTCAATACTCATCATATACTCAAGCTGAGCTTTGAGGTCATATCAATTAAATCAGAGTCCTTCAGAATCCCTCTCTACAAAGCAAATATAAACCTATAAGCACGTATGTAAAACTGAAGTTTGCACCAGTTTATATTTTCCACTGACATTACTTGCCTCCATTCTTCGTAATTTCTACCCCTTCCATGTATTATGGGGGAAAAGATGCCTTCTTTGACATTACTTAGAGTTGCAAATGTGAATAGACTTCAAAATGTGAATATATGTATAGTTCACATTATATATATTCACATATTTATATATATATATATATTCCCATATATACTGGAAAGATATGTGTTATGCGTTGTTTTTTTGTGTGTGGCTTCTTGGTATCATACATGGGAGGTGGCTGCTTTATGCTGCTGAGGTAATTATGGAATAATATGGTTGGCTGAAGACTAAGTATTCACTTGTATGTAAAATGATAGAATATAAAATCCTGATTGCATTAGCAGCTAGCCAAATAAGAGTTCTAATGAAGTCAGACATGATAAAATTCTTAATAGAGTAGCAATTTCACAAACAACAATTCACCGTCAGTAAGCTTTCAGGTAGTCACCTTATCAAGACAAGAGGGTTGCTTTTGACTCAAAGTTAGGAGGCTTTAGTCTCTTGTCAATTGATCCATGTTGTTTTAGGCCTGTGTTGAGCCCTCATGGTAGGAATAGGTGGCAGAGCAAAACCACTGATCTCATACCTGAAAAGCAAAGGAGAGAAAGGAAGCAACCAGGATTCCACAATCCTTCTGCAGACATCCCCACAAGACTTGTAGACTTCCCACCAGGCCCCAGTTCTCCAAGTTTCCACCACCTCTAATAGCATCACTCTGACAGCCAAACCTTTATTAATCATGGACCTTTGGAGGACACTTAAGATTCAACTCCAGCATTTATTAAAGGAGATTTTGTAACATTGTGCTTACTCAGTGTAATAGATAGATCACCTACCCTTTGCATGTTGGACACTGAGAATTGAACATGCAATATACCAGCATAATTGCTAGAAAGTATTTCTGCTATTTGAGCAATGTTGAGCTGCAAAAAATTGATAAAGTAGATTCTAGGTGATATTTCTCCTTTTTACTAAGAGATACATAATAGAAAATACGGGGATTTGAGCAAAGTAGAGCTTGATGATTAAGAGCCATAATTGGTGAGACAAAATATTATTGAAAATATTTTGCACAGGAGAGATTTGAATTTGGGAGGGAAGAACTAAATTCCAGACTTAAACTTAATAAGCTGAGGAGAGACAGTGCTCCTAGGGCCTCAACTAGGCTGTGGCTTTACTGTTAGAGGAAAGTATGGCCTAGACTTGAAGTAGATGTTATCAATGAGGCTATATCACTGGGAATTCTCTTCTCATCAATTAATCACATTTTTACTGAGAATAGCAACATTCATTTCAGATATACCCACATACATAAACTAAGCTTTCTAACAGGTTTTATTTTTTAAGCCCTAAGGAAAGACAGTTACATTCCTACTTATATTAATTTGGAAACTGAAGTCAGAATAGTAGCTCCTTAGGAACATTGGGGTCAGAGAATAGTGCTAAAATTACTTTATTTCTGTTCCAAAGGACATTTTGTATTAAAATAAATTACTTGATTTCATTTGCAGAAAAACACATTTTACATCGCTGAAACATGGCTGAGAGGCATTTGTATAAAATAGTACTTAGGCCCAAGAGAAAATACATGGCAAGTGTTTTGATTAAAAAGTAAGAGTTACTTTAGTAGTGTTCATTCTCTGTGATCATTAGGGTTTTTTTTTGTATATCCTTTTATTGGTACATTTTAAGTGTACAACATAATGACATGCATCATTGGAGATATGCACCTTTACATATTCTCTTGGTTCTTATTTTTCCCCCTTCCCCTACCCTCCCTTCAACTCCTCCATCCCTATTTACAAAGACTTTGTTTCCATTTTTTCATTTTCTCATATTAATTCCATTCCCCTCTTTCCTTTCCCCTACCCCTCCGACTTCCTCTTCCCCTTTGCCCCTTTTCTTCCTATTGTGATCATTAGCTTATGAAAAAACTGAGAAAAATGAGGCAAGAAAAAATAAAATGCCATTGGCTGTTATATTTGCTTTGTGTTTTTAATAATAATTATATATATAATTATATATATCCATATTATATATCTATATATCCATAATTGTCCTTTCAGGGCTGGGGATTTAGCTCAGTGGTTCCAGTGCCTGCCTCGAGAGTTCAAGGTCCCGAGTTCGATCCCCGGTACCAAAAAAATCCCCCCAAAACACATAATTGTCCTTTCACAATACAGTATTGAGTTATATAAAGAAGATGTTGCATAATTACTGGCCAGATTATATGGTCTTATGTTATCAGAGAGCTCTACATCCTGAACTTAACACTATGAAATGCTATTTTATGCCTTAAGAGAATCAGTTAATGAACATGGTATAAATAAACTATTTCCTTGGAATCTATAAATAATATTGATAATTAGCTGTACACATTCCAATTCTTTTGATAACAGAAACAACTTGATAAAGACAACTCCACCCTCATAAAATACATATGGTTCCTCTCTAAAACATCAACACTTACATTTTATTCTAGGGTGCTTAATATAGATATAAATGATTCTGTGTTTTAATTTCAGCATATCTATGTTACTTATTGCTTTATTAACTGATGCTATCAGAGCACTGAGATTTCTTTGAGCTTATTTGACTTTACTGTTAGCACTTACATTTTGAAAACTTTTCATCAAAATGCATTTTGATTTTGCCTTTTATTTTACATACTTGGTTTTGAAACATGCATACTGAACTCCTACTCTAAAAGCTTGGTAAAATAATCAAGAATAATATCAATATTTATCTTAGCTATTCTTAGGAAAAGATCCTAAAAATAATTATAGAAATAAGTTTTAGAATAGCTTTCTCTGGAGATAATCAAGAAGATTGTTAACGCCATGATCTAAGATACCTAACCATATCTAATAATCCAAAATTGTGAATATAAGTAGTGGCTACAGCTTGGTCAGATCCCATCTCCACATAAGGATGAGTAGGCTCTAATTTTTAAAATATTATAGGATTTGGAGGGAGCATGAAAAACAAAATCCATAGACGACAACCCATATGATTTCTTTTTAACTTCAACTAATGGAACTTAGATCTTTCAGAGTTAAAATGAGCAAATCTCAAGTAAAGTAGGCTTAGGTGGTTGACCCAATAATTGTTCCTGGTTTTTTGGGGGTTTTTTTTTGGCTTACTTGGAAAATGAATGTAGTGCACAAAAATGTAAATTTTATTTTGAGACTATAAAGAACTTTGGATAAAAGAGGAGAGAGAGAGAGAGAACTAGGTCCCTAACGATCTATCTGAGTGGCTGTATTAGTTTTGGATTGCCTACCTCTGTATTTCATATTACATTTAAAAAAAAGGTTTTTTTCCCCAAGTCACTGTACCAGTATTTTCTGGTAAATGCAGCGAAATATATCCAAATTCCTGGACACAACCAATCATCTAACTGAATTTACTAATTTATAGCAGTTTTAGAAAAGATAATGACTAAGCTGAGTTTTGGTCACTGAGTAAGAATTAACAAGGAGAAGAAAGGTTTTTAGCCTGAGGTAAATCCACAGCAGACCTACTGCATGGATTGACTGAAATCCAGTAAAAAACCCCATAATGTCCCTCATGAAGAATCAGAGGTCAACATGCAGGAGTATGATAGCCACTAGAACATAAGTATGTGTGAGAGAGAAAAGGAGAGCATTATTCTAGAATGGAGGAATCCAGAAAGTATTGAAAGCAACCAGAGTAGAATGGCCTTTATAAACATTGGAAACAATGATTTCAATGAATGTCCACTTCTCTTCCAAAGCAATGGGGGCCAGAAGACAGTGGAACAAAATTATTGAAGTGATGAAAAGAAAAATATGTCAACCAAAATTCTACATCAAGTGAAAAATAGTCTTCAAAATATTCTTCAAAAATGAGGATAAAATAAAGACATTTTCAGAAAAGAGAATTTATTGCAACCTCTACTGCAACAAATGTTCAAGAAATTTCTCAAGGTGATGAGAAATATCAGATGGAAGCTCAGAACTGAAAGAAGAAGTGAAGAGAATCTGAAATGATAACTGTATTGGTAAATATGAAAAATTAATATCTCCTGTTATATATTAAAACACATGAGTGTCTTTAAAATTTCACTGGTAGAGCATATCCCTGGGTTTGAATCAAAGAAAGAAAGAAGGAAAGAAAGAAAGAAAGAAAGAAAGAAAGAAAGAAAGAGAAAGAAAGAAAAAAACAAACCAAAAAACTGTGAGGTTTCTGAATGTATATGTAACTTATATGATGTCTGTAATATAAAGGATGGAGAGTTGCAGTAAATGGGCTTTACTGATATAAATTTTCTGTATTTTATATTAAATAATATAAATCCTAAAGGCTATAAGTTTACTGTGCATTTTTAAAAGTATTGCTAAAATATCAATGATATATTAAAATGGAAATCTAAAAAATTCAAGTAATCCAAAAGAAGCTAGCAAAGGAGAAACAAAGGAAAACAAAATAGGACAAATAAAAATCAAATCATAAAACATGAGCTCTACATCTGACCACATCAGCATTCTAATAAAGGTTAATTATCTACATATTCCAATTAAAGATTCAAGATTATCATAAAGGATACATTTAAAAGGCTTAACTATATGCTTTGCATAAGAATGCATACAGTTTTGGATCATGGTTGGCTAGAGGCAGTAGCCTTCATGAGACTCTTGGGAGACACTTTCCATGGTCTGCAAATACCTGGATAGAGGTGCTAAAGAAAACCCGAACCAATGCAAGGAAGCTTAAAATACAGTAGTACTTCCAATGAAATCCAGTAAGGAAGTTGTTCAGTACGAGAAGCACGGCTACTCTTCCATCCCACCACTGCTTGTAGACCAGGTTAGGGAAACATGCCATCTTGGTAAAAGTTGAAATCCAAATGAAGGAAGAAACCCAGTGTAGCAGCCTAGCAGCCCCTCTCCCCTGCTCAGTGCCCATCTGGCCTAACTATCCTCCAACTGCAAGAAGGTGCCTAGAGAGTGCAATATTAACAAGAAGGGATGTCCTCTGATCAGAGAACTAAGGAAAACAGAAGGCAGAGAATCGCTCATAGGGTAGTGACTGAGTTAGGACCAAGGAACCATTAGTACAGAGAAGAGCAAAGGGCACAGTTCTGGTTAGTGACCTAGAACCAGGCATAGAAGGATCCACGAGACAGGATCTCAGGGACTTTCAGTGGCTGTGTCAGGTGGGATTCAAGACACTGGCACCTTGCCAGAGCACAGACTCTCCCACTGCCCCCAAATGCCATTGAGCTCTGCACCTGTGTAGGCTTCTCCTGCTGACCCCTAAATGCTACTAAATTCTATGGAGAAGGGCACTCTTCAGCTGAGGCCTAAACACCACAGAATTCACCAGATGGAGAGAGACCCTCTGTGAAGCTGAACAACTGGGATGTTGGATCTTTGGGTGTGGAGAAAACAACCCATATCAACACGTTGAGGCTATTTCATGCTGGGCCCACTAAAACCACTAAAACCCCAGAGAGACTGAAACTCAGCAAGTACGAGTATTGCTACAATCTGGGAGTAAAGGGAACACAGAAAAATCATCAGAATAGCTAGCAAGGGTGGGGTCTGCCTCCTGGCTGACCAT